CAGGATGAATGATGTGCTCGGCGTGCTAAACACTGTAGTCTGATGAATGGTGAAACTAGTTTTAAAAAGTTTTATGACACATACACGTATACAGTACATACTGCAGATACAGAGTTTAGAGCGTGACACCCCATTTGTTTTCCTTGCCAGTTAATCAGTTACTCACTTCACATGCAGAACAGGGCGCAACAGAAGAATTAGAAGAGGACTGTAATCCACAAATCTGAAATTCTCAAACTTTGCCTTTGGTAAAATAAACAAAGAACTGATACTGGATACTAATTTGAGAAAACTCTAGCAAATGAGTAAAAACAACAACAACAAAAAAACTCCACTAAAGCAGATGCAGGTGACAGCAGTTTACAGGATGGAAAACCAAAACAACGAACTGCAACATCTGAGAGGAACTGCACAGTTGGCAATACTATTTTGTTGGTCTATCATGTACACTGTCATCTGGTCCACTGTTAAATATACATATATTGATTAGTGAAGCTTTAAAACTGTTTTAGCATTTCTGTTTTATTGAAGACAGTTGTGGTAACACTATTATTATACTGTAAATTTATTGTACGTTATGAATAATTACAAAGTAGTACACAAAGTAGTACACAGACAACATACAGCAGTTTTAATTGGATATGACTGATCAAGGTAAACCAGTGCACAAACTACTTGGGCAAACAAAGCTTACTTTAATAGAACAGGTTAGGCATAAAAGTTACAAAGATCCACCTTTCCTCTGCAGGCCTTTAGAGTAAGACGAGTATAGACAGCATCCAGGTATAATGTTAGTGAACATTTTAATGACACAGGTCACGGGAAAGAGACACTGAAGACCACACTACTGCACCTCACAATAGTATGTCCTTAGTTTTTGTACATCTGTTTATCCATCCATTCACCAGGGTGCTGTTTGCTCCACACTGTGTGGTAGGGTGCTGTTTGCTCCACAGTCGATGTACTCGTACGTCTCCAGGGAGAGCTGCTCATAGTGGGCCAGGTAATAAACTGTCATAGACATCCTGAACAAAGACAAAACAAGGAAGAATTACAAAACTAGACACCAATAATAAGATGAAAACACTACTTTTGACTTTAAAAGAATGCTGTAGTCGAACATTTTGACAAACATCTTTTAAGCTTCTCTCTGGGAACGAGGGGAGAAGATGGAGAGCTCACTGATTAACCTGTGGGATCTAATGTGTTTAATCTGTACTCATGATGCAACTACTTCCTGGTGAACAACAGTTGGTCCATCTACCCAGAATGTCGCAGTCACAGTGCAGTTGTCAAATCTGGTACGACTGGGCCTGTGCACACTACCTGTATCGAGTTCCCCATGGTCTTGATCCATTTTTTTAAATTTGTGCCATTTCCAGTTTTTGCTCCTGACTTCCAGTTGCTGGTGCTTGCTGTAGTATAAATACAATTCTGAGTCCTGATCGGTTCACACAGTCTGCTACAAACCTCTTCCAGGTGCGAACACACGTCAAGGTCGTGTGAACTGACACCACCGCAAATACTAGGTTAAAAAGAGCATCTTTGCACACAATGACCTGCAGCCTCATCTTTAACTAGCTGACTTGGTGATGTAGCAGGAGCTTGAGCTTGTTATGGCAAAAAGCTTTTAGGAGCTCTGATGTTTTACTTATCAGTACAATGACACTTAAGAATGTTAAGACTCTGTTATTGCCATTATTTATACTGGGTCTGGTTGATTCATGACATCTGTCGAGGGTAGGAAAAATAAATAACAGTATTTCCTACAGCAAGAAGTGCAATAATTCCTTTGCATGTGTATATACAGTTTGTGTCTCAGCTACACTGACAACATTTACAGTGCAGCACTTCTGCTCTCTATCTAAGAAGCAGCAGCACTGAAGTTCTAAACAGTAAATAATACTTTTCAAATTGGCAATGGATCTTGCATGGAGTAACAGGAATGTTTTTGATTCCCACCCAATCTAAAGTATGTAATAACTGAGGCACAGCGTGGAGCTGTTTATTCTGTTCACCAGGAGTCATGTGAGTGACCAAACTGGAGCCAAAGCCAACACAGATATAGTAAATTGTTCTTCTGTCCTCTAAATGCAGACTCTGCGCATTGATACGAGTGAAACCATCCTTACAGTGTCACACACTACTCATGTTTCACCTCACATATTTACAGTCATATACAGTTTCATCTTGATAGTTAAGATGTATTCATTCAGGAAATCCCACCAGGCTCAAGATCACTTTTTCAAGAGAGATCATAAACACAAGATCACAACAATGAAGATCATTCACTCAAAACAACTATTAAATGTGCGCCCACACAAACATGACCATACTAATCTAAACAAAAATATTATTGGAATTATAAACTTGTAAAGTCTCATCCGTAACAGGAACTTTCAAAGCAAGTCTCTTCTGTGATCTGGTGTCATGGTTCTGAGCTTTAAACTCAGCTTGAAACATCTCAGCAGCTTATATAAGCAAGAAACTGTGGTGAAACCCCATCTGCTACCAAACAATACTGTAATGATTATAAACACAAATTATGTGTCAAGTCCCAACCCAGCGCAGCTGACTACTTTCCCCAGTCAGTAATCAGGCCTACCCAGTAATCTTTAAAAAGCTTCTGTCTTTACTTTCTTTTCAGTTCAAAAAACCTGAAAGGATTTTCAGTCTGCCACTTACTATAATATGATACTTACTGTAGGTGCAGATACAGAGTGTGAACAGGAAAGGACGCCGTCTTACAGTAGTTACTGCAAATAAAAACAGGACAAACAGCAGCTAATCAGTAGTTTTTCCAAGCACAGAATTTAGGCGACACTGACGATTACAGACAATGTTTTTAACTGAGTAAACAGATGCTGTACATAGAGACACAGATAATAAGCATCATCAGATGCAAACTTAGGTTAGCTAGTTCAACAGGTTTTAATAGTGTGCAACATACACACCGTCTCCAACTCAGAGCCAACAGCTTGTCTGATTAGACGATGTCTGACCCAGCAGTGAGCATCACTCCATGCCATTATAAATCAGGTGAGCCCGACGACAGGCCACACCATTCTCTTAGCTGGCCTTCCTTTGACCTGGCCTACTTTATACTCTTCCAAGCAAAGGGTGAATCCACAGCAGCATGATCTAACCTTATATCTATATTGGACTTGCTTAGGCTAATGTGCTCGTTATACCAGCATGAATGGCAGTTTCATTCGACTGCCATGGCCTGCTCCAAAAGTCCAGCTGTCCACTCTACTTATCTGATTCCAGTTCTGACAGAATGTGAACAGGCTGAGGTGTAATATTTCATTCACTTTGATAAAAGCCAAGTGAAATGCCAGCTGGCTAACATGTTTATTACCTTCAACACAGATAATGTGTTATAAAATTATTAATATGCTCCAGGATTATTGCAGACACTGGCTGTCAGAGCTGTAACATGTTTCTTGTTCAACAAATAACTTTCTAAAAGCTAATTCATTAATTTTTGTCACTGATCTTCTCTAATGCTACAAGAAGAGAAAACTCCACAGGAAACCTTTAATGGCTGTTTGTTGTTAATGCAAAACCTCCTCCTCCATATTTACCACTTCTCTTGATAAATGTGTCCTGTAAAAGTACATTTTTGTGATATTTAATTTTACTTAACATTTTCAATGCAAGACTTCTACTCTGAGTAGGCTACTTATACAGTGTGATAGTAGTACTTTTACTTAAGTAAAGGATGTGAATACTTCCTCTACTACTGGTGCCAACATGCAAACTAACATGCTTTAGTTCAATAATATGCTATAGTTATATGCCTTTTTTTTGTTTTTCTTTTTTTAATCGTATTTCTAACTCTGTTTATTCTTTAGGGCCAATTGCTGCAATCCAGCTCAGTCAACTGGCACAGTCAGCTGCCCCACCCTCCTCCCACTCTTTTGAGGGTCAATGTAGCTGATAATAATAGCAATTGTGCAATACCTTGAAGCCGTGGCATTTTCCTAGACAGTTATCACACTGCGAACATCTCATACCATTGCAACCCTAGTTGACACACACACACACTGTAACTAAACCAGATAGTCACAGCAGAGACTTAATTATTGCTAAATCTGTTACATGGGAAAGGAGCATCTGTATGAAACCTATAGTGCATGAGAGAATTTTACTGTAACGATGGACAGCTCACCACAGACCAGGGTCCGTCAGCGTGATGGGGATCATGAAGGAGTACTGTGGAAAACGAGAAAGGCAGAGTCACTCCTCACTCACTTTAACAGCTGTACTTTGCTGGTAAAAATCATGTAAATGACCAAAACTGTTCCCAAGAATCTTTTTTTAGTCATCTATCCCTGCATGATACTATCTGTCCCTGGGAGACTGAGACCACTCACCGTTTTGATGGACAGAGGTGTGACAGAGGTGACGCTCTTAATGGACACTGTTCCCACCACTGTGTCATAGTTGAGGGCCTGCACTGTCAGATTATAAGCCTGCACTGGCACAAAGTTGTGATTGCTGATGTTCAACACGTTCTACAAAAAATAAAAAAGCCTTGTGACCAACTGACAGTGAGAATTCAGAGCAAGTTCCATTGTTCATAACAGTAATGGTAGTGAAGAGAATTACAACTCAGTCTATCAGTCCTTTCACATCCAATACTTCTCCTTCAATCTCTCTACACCCACCGTGATTTTAATTAGCACATCATCTTCTGTGAAGTAAACAAAGGATGACTTGACGGCTACCGGAGACAGAAGGACAGAGCGAGGATACAGGAAGAACAATACCAGGGCGCTGACCAGGAGGCACACACCAACAGACACAGCAACGTAGAGCTTCCTGGGTGAGGAGGAAACATCAGAACAATCACCTGTTCATATTAGTCTAATGAAAGATTTTAGCATCAGGTTTGACAAACAACCTGATCAAACTTTACTGAAATGTTTGGTATTTGCTTGATTACGTGTGTCTGGGTCTCAGCCTCTGGTCATTACAGGGGATGACAGCCACCAGCTTGCTCTCTTGACCTGTACCACACATGGAACATGATTTCATATCAGTTGTGAAAATAAAGGAGCAGATTTAATTTCACAGGGAGCCGGATCCTCCCATATTTGTGTTCGAAAGACCAATTGATTAATGATACATTAAAACAACAATGCATTATTAATACCCATTTTTCTACAAAACTGTTCATATTAACAGAATTAGCCAAAGTTCTCAAAGGTGTTAGTGTTTCATTTTGTGTGAGCACTGGACCCCACCCCCCAAAACAAACAAACAAACAAACAAACAACAGCAACAAAATAAATCACTTTTTATGGAATTCATTTAACATAAATTGATAAAAATGAGCTAAAATTTAAGCATTTATTAAAATGGGTTATAAAACATTGTGACCAATTTAACACATTTTACAAGCTGTCAGTGCTCTCAGGTAGTCAAACTATGAGATGGAATGGAGAGATTTTTTTCCAGAATACCTAACACATCATCTTTTCCTGTGCTGTGCTGACATAAAGTAGCATGTGATGTGTTGCACCTTGTGTTTGCGAGAGGATCCTAAAGATCGATGATGTTATTGTTGGTGCAACACTTCCTGTTGGGAATGTATGTGGAGGGATTTGTAGGAGAAGATGACTATCAACGGTTACCGACCTTGAGGTTTCAAGTACTGGGCGGGACGTAACGATAAAAAACAAAACAAAACAAAAAAAACATGGGATGAAACGATAAAAAAACAAAACAAAACAAAAAAAACAAACATGTTGCATGTCTGTTAATGTGTTGTTTCTGTAGAGGATTGTTGTAAGGCTGGAAAAGTTACTATGCATTATGCCAGTTAAAATATGGGGTTTCTCTATTACTCGCTTTGTTTAGAGCGTTGCAAATCTCTTTTCATCAGTACATATACCGTTGTTTACCTATCTATGGAGGAATTGTGCACATTTACAAACTCTCCTCTTGTTTTCCGGAGGAGGCTCTCGGGTTTCATCGTTCTGAAACAGAGACTATTTGGAGTTATGAGGGGTGCAAAGCTAAGCTAGAGGTACCCAAGATTAAACATTAAATGGCTGGAAATGAGCATGCCATAGGCACCTTAAACATAATTTTTTTTCATCTGTCCATGCTGACACACTGGTGGTAAAAATTGATGCTAACATAGAGTAGACTATATTAGATGCATGGCTAACTAAAACACAATAGAAAGCTGAGGGCTGGAAACTTTACTGAGGTCACTCATGTTGATCCATCACAACATGGCTGTACCATACCCGCCTACGTGACACTCTGCCTGCAACTACTCATCCACCTACAAACATAGCCCTACTGGGAGGGGTTGCATTTTAACACATTCACTTTAACACCCCCTAAGTCTCCAGGAAATAAGTCAGTGTAATGTCCACTGAAGTGAAGGAAACAACATGTGTGTACCGTAATTTCCGGACTATTGAGTGCACCTGAATATAAGCCACACCCACTAAATTTAAAGCGAAGAAACAGTCTGTACATAGCCGCAGGTGTCCATGTTGTAACATGAGATATTTCGACAGCCAGATCGACTGTCTTTAACTTGAAAGCTGCATCATATGCATTTTGTCATGGGTTTTCCATGATGAGGGTGTGTGCATGAAGTGAAAAAAAGTAGCGGCTTATAGTCCGGAAATTATGGTATGTGGGTGTGCATCCTCATTACCTCTGGGTATCCGCCCAGTACCCTGGCAGGTCGGACAGTGAACTGTCTCTCCTGAGTTGTGTCTGCTGCTGGAGCTCTGCTTCCTCAAGTCATCTTTGTCAATTATAGGCAGTTTGTCATCATGTTTGTTGTTTTGGCCAAACCCATTGTGCTGTGATTCCTCCTTTCCAGTGCCATCCTTATCCTTGCTGGGAGCAGCCCCCATACCTGAAGAAACAAGAACATCACCTATTAGTCAATTGTATCTTAGATGGACTATAAAGAGGAGAAAGTATTTGATGGAAAAATCTTTATTAAAATAATTGTGTATTATCAAGACATTGTTTAAAAAAACATTTCTCTTAAATATCAGAAAAAAATTCAGACCCCCTCACTTTCTGCACGCTAGATTGTAGATTTCTTCAATATGAATAAAACTACCATTTTTGTCCCATCAATCTACCCTAAAACCCTCAACACAGTGAAAAAGTTTTTCATAATTTTATGTAAATTTATTTTAATAATCAAAAGGTTCAAATGTACATACTGGTAAATGGTCTTCTACTTATATAGCGCTGTTTGATGCAATGAAGCACATTCAAAGAGCTTTACACTATTTTCCATTCACCCATTTGCACACACAAGCATTCACACACACTCATGGCACAACCACCAGGAGTAACATGAGGTTTAGTGCCGTACCCAAACACACTTCTCCATTGCTGCTGAAACACTGAAATTTCCCCATTGAGGGATCAATAAAGTACCTACCAATACTTAATTTGTTAAACTCTGAAGGTTGTAGTGCATTTTGTGTAGGACTTTGATTATCAGTAATGTATGAACATTAGGAACAACAGAAATAAGTAAGTAAAACCTGTTTGACTCTGTGTGTGTGTGTGTGTGTGTGTGTGCACACATGAATGATTATGTTAAGACAGAATAAAAAAAAAAACATGAATGTACACTTTAATGCTCATGGTTTTGGAAGGGCATGTTCAGTAGTTACATATGAAAGATATATTCCAGCGTCCCCAAACATATGGCTATGTATGTATTATTCTTTGTAAACTAAATTAAAACAGAAACTGCATGTGGACAGATGAGAAAATAGGTAATCTAAATAAATGAAAGAGGAAGGTGGTGTTATAAAAAAATACCGTAGACTAGCATAGCTGTGAAGGAGCAGAGAAAAATGCAGGTGCACACAGGTCCAACATGCCAAGTAAGCCAGAAATAATAATAGCTTTCAGATAAGGAAACAGTTGTGCTCATTAAAACAAATAGCACCCATCCACATTAAACAATGAAAAAAGGTTTTTAGCTTGTGTTAATGTTAGAAATATCCCCTTACTGTGTAATGCAATTGTGTTTTTTTTGGAGGATACTCTCACAAATAAATAAAATGAAAAAGCATGGATTATAGAAGTCATAATAATGCCAGTTGATGTAATTTATTACATCACCATGTAATAAATAACTTTACTGTAACATGGTAAATCAGAAGGCCATTTATTTGAAAGGGTGGTTTCATAGAAGTTATTGAATTTAGTTGCTACTAAGGTCAGTGATTCATTGATTATCGGTGAATTGCTGTTAAGTATTTAATCTATTAAAAATATATTCACCAACAAGGGAGAAGACAACTAGGACATGTTGCAAATGTCAGAAAATTAATTGTAGTTTGCTACAGTTTGCTATGTACTAGTATGTCCTTTTGGGATGTTTTCAAACCTCACTCAACCAGAACAACTTTGGGTCAAGTGAGGATCATCAAGGAGCGATCAAATAAGGGAATTGAGATTTACCAATTGTCGAGCGCCAATAAAAAATTAAGTGAAGCTCAGCCCACAGGTAATGTTCCTTCAGTACTGTTATATAACAGAACAGCTTATGGGACATATGCCAGGATTAAATATACCGGAATCTTCCTTTAACACTGGATGGCATTAAAACCAGCTCAGCAGTTCAGTTCCCCGCAAACATTACGCAGCATATTTTAGCTCGTTGCCTTGGTTTTATGGTTTGGTTCAGTTGTCCAGCTGTTGTCAATGAAAATAACTCTGTTAAACAGCCCTTTAGTTTTGATACACGAACCACGTAAATATTTATAAAGACAAATACTTGTGTCATATAATGTAATTACCGTAACCTGGTTAGCTGGCAGACCTACTCTACCAAGCCAGAAATAATAGCTTTCAGATAAGGAAACAGTTAAGCCAGAAATAATAATAGCTTTCAGATAAGGAAACAGTTGTGCTCATTAAAACAAATAGCACCCATCCACATTAAACAATGAAAAAAGGTTTTTAGCTTGTGTTAATGTTAGAAATATCCCCTTACTGTGTAATGCAATTGTGTTTTTTTTGGAGGATACTCTCACAAATAAATAAAATGAAAAAGCATGGATTATAGAAGTCATAATAATGCCAGTTGATGTAATTTATTACATCACCATGTAATAAATAACTTTACTGTAACATGGTAAATCAGAAGGCCATTTATTTGAAAGGGTGGTTTCATAGAAGTTATTGAATTTAGTTGCTACTAAGGTCAGTGATTCATTGATTATCGGTGAATTGCTGTTAATTATTTAATCTATTAAAAATATATTCACCAACAAGGGAGAAGACAACTAGGACATGTTGCAAATGTCAGAAAATTAATTGTAGTTTGCTACAGTTTGCTATGTACTAGTATGTCCTTTTGGGATGTTTTCAATCCTCACTCAACCAGAACAACTTTGGGTCAAGTGAGGATCATCAAGGAGCGATCAAATAAGGGAATTGAGATTTACCAATTGTCGAGCGCCAATAAAAAATTAAGTGACGCTCAGCCCACAGGTAATGTTCCTTCAGTACTGTTATATAACAGAACAGCTTATGGGACATATGCCAGGATTAAATATACCGGAATCTTCCTTTAACACTGGATGGCATTAAAACCAGCTCAGCAGTTCAGTTCCCCGCAAACATTACGCAGCATATTTTAGCTCGTTGCCTTGGTTTTATGGTTTGGTTCAGTTGTCCAGCTGTTGTCAATGAAAATAACTCTGTTAAACAGCCCTTTAGTTTTGATACACGAACCACGTAAATATTTATAAAGACAAATACTTGTGTCATATAATGTAATTACCGTAACCTGGTTAGCTGGCAGACCTACTCTAGCATGCAAAGACAGCGGAAATAAGATGACTGACTGACTTTATTTTGTCAGACCTTTCTCTTGCAAGTTACCACATACAAACACCTAGATTAAAGTTACGTCAAATATTCACAGTAAATAGGCGTTTTAAACCACCTGGAGGGCGGTGCTGCGTTGTCAACATCGCCTAAAAGGGAAAAAGTGTCCCTACAGACCGTCATGTGTTCTTCACTGTACACGAATTTGCTATTCAAGTTTACTGTAATGTCTGCAGTGTAAAAAACATATGGCAACAAGCTCTCTAAAGCATGTCGCACTTTGGGTTTACCTAAAACGCCGCTCTCAAAACATTTCTCATTTCCTGGATAATCCCACCATGTAAATTCTGACAGCTTGGTTTACCTGTCCGTCGAGCGTGTGCTTTAAAACGATGACAGCATTAGTCTTGTTGGTTATCAAGGCCGTACTCATATATGTATACAGATCCTACGCTTTCATGCTAGACACAAACACTCCTACTTCTATTTCTTCTTCCTCCTCTTATGATTATGGTTTATTGCCGATTTCCGAGCCAAATTAAGGTGCATTACCGCCACCTGCTGGGCTGGAGTGTGGGGCAATAATATATAGTTCTGCTTCTTCTTCGTCTGTTTTGGCACGTTATGATCGAGGAATTGTCACATTAGCGCCCCTAACTGTGGATTGTTTATACACCTACTAGGGTGGACTATGGACCAAGGTGCACCTTATCTTTTTCCTGTCCTTCCTAAGAAATCTAGCACAACTTCCCCTCCTGCTATTACTGCCAGTATTTCCCTGATGCTCAGACAGTTTATTTTCTTTTCTATAAATTTTACCTTCCTTTCCATTGTCTCCCCTGTGTAACACAATATAAAGAGAATGGTGAGGAAGAAAAATTGTGGAAAATTCCCACATCCAATGAGCAGTGTAAAAGGGGCTTACATTTACACCACTTTCCAGGCTTTATGCTAAGCTATGCTAGACATTAATGTAGCTTCATATTGTGCAAATATTAGAACTACATTAATCATCTCATATCGACTAGCTCTAACCAAGAAAGTGAATAAGTACAGTATATTAGAACTATCAAACTTCCTTTAAACTTTATTGAAGAGTTTGTGTCTATGGTTTTCTAAAAAGAGTAATTTATATTTGAATTTGCAACATGGCCAAAAAAAAGGAAGCGTTATGATCTCTGTGTTCATTTGTTTGACCACTGATAATAGTGTCAGGTATTCACACAATTTTTCATAATCCTACAATAAGTGCTGTTTAATTAAACAACTTTTTCAATTCAAATCCTTCAAGTCTTATGTGCAAGCAAATAAAACAATCTTCAATCAATCTGGAAACATTTCTTACAGAGGATAACACTAACACACACAGACAGCAGAGCAAACTCAACCACCACATAGTAAGCCTAAAAAAACAACATCCAGAGCTCTAACTTTTTACAGTCCAAACAGCCTTTAAGCATTCACAGAAAAAAAAAGAATCTCAATTCTTAACTAATGTACTGATGAACTGATAGTCATTGCTTCCAACTAAGATGTTGTGTATACATATTCACACATCATCATCATAAGGAAAATAATACACATTTCACATTGATACACAGTTTGATTCCAGTTCAAGTTTGGATTGATTGTACATACCCTTAATTTGCTCTGCCAAAAGTAGTATACAACCACACCTGACCCAGCACAAAACATATGACAAGAATGCAAAAACACAGGAACCCACAGGCTTTGCTGATTCAACTCAACAAGACTGAAGTTATTAAACATACTCCATCTAATTCAACTGCAGCTTTAAGCAGCCTTTTGTCCCAGATTGCTGACTTGCATTAATCTGTGATAAGTGTGATATTAAACTTGACATGTTTAACTTGAGTCCACACGCTTCAACCAAAACAATTATTGGATCATTTTCTTTCACATCTGTACTTTAGTTCTTTTGGTCTAGAAAAGAAAATCTTTTTATTCTGGACCAGTTTGAGTTCAGGCAACTCAAGAGCCGTCACCATCAAGTCATATGGTCTGACAAGTAATGCATTCACTTACTGGACTAGTTCCGGTGATGTTACTTACATCAACAGCAGTGGACCCAGTGGTAAACATCAAACGGGTAGATATAGGATGTAATGGAGGAACCTCTTATGGTCATGATACAGTTGCTACATTTCACCTACTTTTTAATAAGATATTACTAAAACACATGGAGTAGGATGTGTATTGGTTGACATTTTCTACACCTGCCAATGAAAAAAATAAACAGGTAAATACACAAAAGTCTGTTTCAAATGAACCACACAAAGAAAAAGCATCCTCTGTCTAAATCCCCCTTTTTGCTATAACAGAATTGGCGAGGGCTGTGTCTGACCCATTTTTCAAAACTTCAATAATTATGCCCACTTAACAGTACAATTAGCTAGGTGTGCAGAGGTGTAAGAGGAGGTGGGGTTTAAACATTCTTCTATGTTTTCTGTTTCCATTCTTCACACAACTACTTCCATAACTTTTTGTATGAACAGTGTGACACTACAAAGCTTTAAAGAAGTGACTGTCCAACAGTGTTTGGAGGACCTCACCATCAAGTGGGGCCGTTCACAGCAGGAAACACTGCCTTCAGACATGCGTCAGATATGAATGGCGTGAATGAAAGGTACATTTGAAGCATACCGAGACCTTCAGTGTGCCAAGGAGGCTGATGGAACTCAGAAATTCCTTATTGTGAGAGCCACAGAATGTTCAGAACAACAATCACGACGCTGCTTAAATGTGAAAACAATGTGTGAAAGAGGGAAAAGTCAACAGTAAAAAAAAAAAATAAAAAAAGTTACATTTTATACTGAATGAATGGTCCCAGTGTGCTGTAAGCTTGTAAGTGCAAATACGATCTCTAAAAACAAAGTCAATAGGGGAATGTTTTTCTTCTTTCAGTGGTCATCTACTCATCTGCAGCAGGTTATGCACATAGCACAGTAAGAGCTGTTTGAGATCGCTATACACCTGTATGCTCCAGTGATACTGACTAAAGTCATGAAACAAAAATATTACTACTAAAAATGCGGTCAAAGTCTATAACATATGAACCTGTGATCACAGAGACACTTTATACAAAGCTACTTACTTTTCACCAACATGAATGTATAGACAAGCAGCTCCAGTGTAAGTGGCATTAATCATACACTCACCTGAGTACCTAATGTGATCTGACTGCTGGGAAATGTATGTCATCTTCTGATAGTGTATACTATCATTTCAACAAACCCAAATTTGAATGATTAAAGGTTTACCTTTTAGGAGCAGATTAGAGTTCTGTAAAGGCCAAAACTGAGACTGAACCTGCCTACATCTTTAAGAACAGACCTTACTCAAGTTTTAGTTGTATTTGAGCTATTGCTACCTGTTGGATTGCCTGGCTCATGCAAAGCACTGGACATATTCTGTCTCTTGGGGACTTCATATCTACTTGAAACAATAAAACACATGAATGCAGAAGATGGAACCATGAGAACTGCTAGTGTCAAGCATCTATCATCACATTTTTCATGAGGAGATGTGTGCCACTGTCTGGACTGGACTGAGCCTCTATGAGGTCTTTGTTAAGGCCTGTCATGTTAGGGCAGCACAACACTAGGGAAGATCAAACCCGGTAGAACCATCAAGCACACTTGAATGTGCAAAGCAAAAAAGTAAAAAGCAAGTATATCAGTACTTTACCTTTGGTGTATGGAAAACGTATATAATAAACTGAATATGGATGCTTAGTCTGTTACTGACTAGCATGTGTACACATTCTCTGATTGAACTAGCTAAGTCATTAAGTGTGTTGTGATGTGGATCTCCCATTGTTGTTGTTGACCAGGCAGATGACAAAACTCGATATTATCTTTCTGCTCTATACTTCATCACTGTAAAAGGAAAAAAAAAATACAGAAAGGTGCTATGTGTAGCATTTCAATGCTAACACTAATGAATACTTGCATAAATATACCAAAGTAAAACTGTTTCATTTTTGCAGCTAAATCAACTTCATGTTAGACAGCTTCATGAAGTTACATTTATTATCATTAACCACGTTTATCAGCTTTTATTCTTGTCCTTGCCTAAAACAACAACTGAACGGCATCAACAGGTGCTCATGAGTTAGCCAGTCTTACCCTTTACAAATGCTACACATAGCTCCTATAGGAACATGTCTCTTTTTCATCTCTCTTAGATTGGTATGCAAAGAAACCACTGTACCACTACTACAGTATCAAGGCTTATGCTGAAAGTGATACAACAGCCTGTGGGTGTTTGATGGTTTATAGCTCAGGAACCCAGAGAGTTTGCTGGAATGTCGTCGTATACTGTCATAGAGAAGTTTGCTCTCCATCCCGTCAGAAGGAGGAAGGTGAAAAGGTAGTTAAGCAGAATTGAATGTGTCTCACAATCTTTACCCTGTGTTTCTCAATCCATCATTTCTCATTTCCTTCTCTGTCTTCCTGTTTTCTTGTTCCTCCACTTGTTTTCCCCTCCTGTCAGTAGCGTGTGGAGTACCAGTCATTGTCGGTCATTTGAACAAGCTCATTGACCACGTCCAGCAGGTTGTAGTTGTGTTTCTTCAACAGCCGCTGGTTCAGCTGCCGGTTCCCAAAGCCCATCTCCACCAGTACGGCCATCATGGTGTCCTGGGTGGATGCATCCACTGGAGGCTGCATGGGAACAAGATCTGTTCAGTCCATGACACCTGCTACTAGTTATACAGTATGTAAACAAATCATTCACTTACATACACAGTAAATATATGTCAGGGGTACTAAAATAGTGACTCCGGTCCAGATCTGGACCTGAAGAGGTTTCCACAACATGTGTTGCATTAAAATAATAATAAGCCTTATTTTGACAAGATTTTTTAATAGGCGGGGCATGGCCAGCCCGGCTGCTGCACCTGCAAGTGAGTGAGTGCAGCCAGTGAGCGGGTCTGCAGAGAGAGAAGCTTACAAACTCAGAAATGTTGCTGCTGAACAGATCAGGTTAGCAACTGACTGTTCTCAGCCCGCAAACACCAACTACCCACTTGTAGCTTAGAAACTGTAACTTAGCATGTCAGACTTGTCAACCTTTGGATTTCTTTGCAAGATTAAATGCAAGTTATGCAATGTGCATGGAGCTCGACAATTGGTAAATCTCAATTCCCTTATTTGATCGCTCCGTGATCCTCACTTGACCCAAAGTTGTTCTGGTTGAGTGAGGACTGAGGACATCCCAAAGCTCTTACTAATATTCTGAGGAGTGAGGAGGCTACTTGGAGGAGACATGAGCAAGGATACAAGAGACAATCCTTTGAGGAAGTCTTTTGTGGACCGACACACCCCTTTATCCAAATGAAGGATGGGAAGAAAAACGTTTCATGCCTCTTGAAACATGTTTCCTCTGATACTCTGTATATAAAGATTTTGGATGCTAGATTAATTTTTTTTTTTACACTTTCTTGAACAAAAAAGGTACAAAAATAAAGGAATGGATTAAACTTGCAGTATTTTTAATACTGCAAGTTAATTTTGTTTTTCAAGGTAGCATTATTATTTTAAAGGCACAGGTGCCGTTAAAGTAACTGGGTCTGGGAAGAGTTCGGTGAGGCCATAGAGAAGGACTATCGGTCGGCCTCGAAGAGATTCTGGCAAACCGTCCGGCGCCTCAGGAGGGGGAAGCAGTGCCCTGCCGAAACTGTTTACAGTGGAGGAGGGCATCTGTTGACCTCAACTGGGGATATTGTCGGACGGTGGAAGGAATACTTCGAGGATCTCCTCAATCCCGGCGCCATGTCTTCCGATGAGGAAGCAGAGGCTGAGGGCTCAGAGGTGGACTCGTCCATCACCCAAGCTGAAGTCACTGAGGTAGTCAAGAAGCTTCTCGGTGGCAAGGCACCGGGGGTGGATGAGATCCGCCCTGAGTACCTTAAGTCTCTGGATGTTGTTGGGCTGTCTTGGCTGACACACCTCTGCAACATCGCATGGCGGTCAGGGACAGTGCCTCTGGACTGGCAGACCGGGGTGGTGGTCCCTCTTTTTAAGAAGGGGGACCGGAGGGTGTGTTCCAACTATAGGGGGATCACACTCCTCAGCCTCCCCGGGAAAGTCTATGCCAGGGTACTGGAGAGGAGAATTCGACCGATAGTCGAACCTCGGATCCAGGAGGAACAATGCGGTTTTCGTCCTGGCCGTGGAACACTGGACCAGCTCTATACCCTCTTCAGGGTGGCGAAGAGTTCATGGGAGTTTGCCCAACCAGTCCACATGTGCTTCGTGGATCTGGAGAAGGCATTCGAACGTGTCCCTCGCAGCGCCCTGTGGGGGGTGCTCCGGGAGTACGGGGTCCGGGGCCCTTTGCTAAGGGCTACCCGGTCCCTGTACGATCGGAGCAGGAGCTTGGTTCGCATTGCCGATAGTAAGTCAGACTTTTTTCCAGTGCGTGTTGGACTCCGGCAGGGCTGCCCTTTGTCACCGGTTCTGTTCATTATTTTTATGGACAGAATTTCTAGGCGCAGCCAGGGGCCGGAGGGAGTCCGGTTTGGGGACCACAGGATTTCGTCTCTGCTTTTTGCAGATGACGTTGTCCTGTGGGCCCCATCAAACCAGG